ATATATATATATATATATATATATACTATACTACACACACACACACACACACACACACACACACACACACACACACACACACACACACACACACATATTTGATTTCAGATATTTGATAAACTACGACAAGAGCGACCATTGAGTTTCAAAAAATTAGTTCCTATTTTGGGTGATACGAAAAAAGAGATGTTAGGTCTGTCGGTTATCGACAGACAAATGTTAACTGAAAGAGTGACTATAATAATACACGCAGCGGCAAGCGTGAGATTTAATGAAACTTTAACCGATTCTATCTTAATTAATCTTAGATCAACCAGAGATATCTGCATCTTAGCTCAAAGCATGAAAAATTTAATAGTAAGCAAATTAATTGCGCATTTTTCATAAATTTATGCTATGTACATTACGTGATATTTACATGTTGGTTGTAATTTTTTCAAACGTTGTCTTGATGTATACTTTTTCAATCAAATAACAAAGCAATCGCAAATTAATAACAATATATGCAAATTTTGCTCCAATCTTTATATTATAGTAATTTAAAAATAAGATAGTTTTTTGAAATTTTTAATTGTTCTTATTCGTTAAAGGCACTAGTGTATATTGGCACAGCATTCACGCATATCGAAAACGCTGTTATTGAAGAAAAAATATATCCACCTGTGACTGACTGGCGAAAAATGATCACAGTAGCTGAGCATTTAGATGAGCATATTTTGAATATTTTTACACTTAAGTAAGTAATAAAATATTCTAATTTTGGAAGTTAAACTGTGTGTGAACAATTAAAGAGAGGTGACTGAAAAAACGTGGCATGTTACAAATAAAAAAAAAAATTTTTTTTAGAGAAAGCATTAAATATAATTATACGAAAGCGATGTATTTATTTAATCCTTATTTTGCTCAAAATATTACAGCGTTTCATAATTTAAATTTTACTTTCATTTTTCGTAGAAGAACGTTGTTGAATATTACAATACTGACACTTGAGATACAGCTAGTAGTAGATAGGAGAAACGTGGAAAAACGTTGTATGTAAAAACTAAAGTACTCTGAATATCTTTTAAATATGAATGTGTATAGTATTCTTAGTTTTCTGTAAAATTTATAAAATGTAACATACAACGTATATTCGATCACCCATTCAATTGCAATTGAAAGAAAATTGTTGTCTTTTACAATATTTAAATTATATTATCAGTAATTTAAGGATTTCTAATTTTACATATGTAATTTTTGATATTATATTTAGATACATAGACAATTTTGTTAACACATATATTTTCACAAAGAAATTGGCAGAGAATATAATAGAGGAATATTCTTCATCTTTGCCTTGTGCGATTATACGACCTTCCATAAGTAGGTACTTTACTTTCTAAATGTTACAAATAAAATATTTTTTAACATGATTTTGACTGATGCCAAAAATTTGTTTTTATAATTTTATTACGTGTAATATATCTACGAAAAAATATCATGCTACTTTTTTATTTAAATAATAATCTGATCATAATAATCTAGCAAATGTGCCTAATGTTTCAGTTTTAAATTCTGTAAGTGATCCATTCCCGGGATGGGTGGATAATGTTTATGGTCCAATAGGAATATGTATCGGTGGCGGAAAAGGACTAATACGAGTGGTTTATCACAGTAAACATATTAGTTTGGACTTAATACCAGTAGACTTTCTCATCAAAACTATAATAGTTGTACCTTGGAAGCTTGGATTGACCAGGTATGATCAACATATATGCAATATGTTTTCGCTGTACATGTTAAATTATAAATATAAAAGTTGATTTTTTTTGCGCTTTTCTGTTCTTCTTATTTTGACTAAATAGTTAATCTGTTCATAGTATGATTACGCATTATCTTTCTTAATTCTGCATCAAAATATTTTAAATTGTGAGATTAGAATTTATATTTCTAAAATTAATTATAACTTTTTAATTTATACAAGATTAAACTATAGATTTTTTAGAAAAGTTAACTATACATTTCCCCATTAATTTGCAACAAAAATTTTAAAGTAGAATATTAAATAGAATATTTAATATGTCTTGTGTAATTTTCACAATTCTAAATATTAAAAGAAACTTTTAAAGTTTATTGATGTTCTTATCCTGTATAAGTACTTAATAAATTAATTATGATGTCGTTTATTATTAGCTTTGCGCCAGGTTCTCCACCTTCCGTCGTAAACTGTATAAGTCAGAGAACCGTAGCATTTTACGCAATTGCTAATTTAGCAATTATTTTAGCAGAAGAGATACCAATGGAAAATGTTCTCTGGACTCTAAATTCAATATTTACTGAGAATTATATTATATTTTATGTATTAACGATGATATTGCATGTTTTGCCAGCCATGTTAATAGATTTGATTTTAAAATTCTTCGGACGTAAACCTATGTAAGTTCTAAACTAGATACGTCAATGTATCTGAGGACATTCAGATAATTACTAAATGCAAGAAAAATCAGAAATCCTGCATATATAAAATAAAATATTATATTTACGTCAAAGAAATCTTTTATTGTCGATCATGTTTTCTAACATGTGCAATTTCAGAGTGTTATATTCTGTTAATATATTATAACATTTTTACTAAAGATTATCTGAATACAGATCAAATCGTCTTAAATCGATTAACCGTGTTAAATCGGTTACATACATATACATACATACATAGTTGCTTTCAAGAAAAAATATAGTAATTTGCAACATGCAACTGC